CAGAACACCCTGTGGCAGAGAGGACTTTTTCTGCATCCTTGCCCAGCACAGACCTGCTGTGTCTGCTTTTCCTACCATGGTCTGTAAAGTATGCTATGTTATTCTTTATGTATCTATTTTTCTTTATTTTTGACAGTTTTTATGTAGTTGATTAGAGCACAAAGGGTCAAGGGTTACAGTTAAGTGGGTAAGACTATTGCTTCCACATTATTGGGTTTTTCCCCCCTGTATCTGAGGTAAAGGGTGAGATAAAAGGGGAAGCCCCACACAGCCTCCCACCCATCCCAGGTCCCCAATGTGGGGCATGCTCTAAGGGTCCTGCTCAAGTGGTTTTGATAATTCAACAGTTCTGAATTGCTGCCAGTCTTGCCATTTCAAGCACGATGAGCTCGCTGCAGAATCCACTGGTTGCATGGTCCACCTTGGAGTCTGTTTGCCCACATTTTCACTGCCAACATGGTTGGGGGGGTTGATTGATTTGTTCTGTCCTCCATCCTCTGTTGTGGAGCCAGGTGTCCTCTGCAGGTTCTGATGGACTGCCATATCCTCCGTGTGCACCTGGCTGTGCTGTCCACTGCTCCGTCTGAGCCTCCTAGGAGGCCTGGTTCAGATACTTGCACTCCATTGTCAGACCATAGAACCTACACTTTACTTTATGGTTGGGGTTCTGAGTCCAGCAGTTTGGTTATGGAGATCCCCAAAGAAACTTTGTCTGAGGTGATCCTGGACCTGATTCTCGTGTGTACTTGCCAGTACACGGCCCGGCACAGTTCGTCACCCCCAATCAGCTGGTGGTTGCAATTGCTGGATCAGTTCTGTTTCCAGCCCATTCCACACAAAACAATGGGTGTTGCAGTCCAGCCTGATTCTGTCCAGCACATGGAATTATTGCACATTAATAATTAAAACAGTGGACCCAAAGTGCCAATGGATGGATAGCCATAAAATGAAATAGCAATAACACTGAATCAAAGTCAGTTTTCAAAAATCCAGCTTACTAGATAAGTATGCATCTGTAGCCTGCAGCACTGGGTCAGAACTCAGAGCGTCTCCGGCTGAAGGTGCTGTGCTGGGCTTCACACAGCAGGTCCTCGCTCTGCCCTTCCCGTGTGTCAACATCTGCTCCGTCACTGTAGTGAGCTGGCATTAGGAGGTGGGCAGCCACACGCAGTCATAGAAAGGAAAGAGAGACCTCAGGGACTGACTGGGGGTCATGGATGTGTTGAGCCTGTCCAGCAACAGGGCAGGCAGAGGGACAGGAGGGACAGGAGGGACCCAGAGGCCTGACGAGTAGCCCGTGGGGTAGACCCTCCTTCCCATGTCCTGACCCGTGTCCAGGGAGGAGGAACATGGAAGGTGAACACCTTCCTAGGCAGGTGCACAGCAGGGACAGGCCCATCCACACCTGGTCTGTGTCTCACCAGCCGCTCTGCTCAGAGGCAACAGGAAGATCAGACACCCAAGCGGGACAGCTTCCTGGCCATGATCGCCCTTCCTGTCTGCTCCCAGGTGATGGGGTAGAGTAGGCAGGTGGTTCTCCTGCTGAGGAGAAAAGCTGGTGGCATGAGAGTCAGGTGCACCACAAACTGGGGACCGTCTGGAGTCCTGCCAGCCATGTCACCTTGTGTGCACAGGCTCTTTATCTGCAAGGCAGACATGAGAACCAACCAGCGTTCTGCTGCCTGCCAAGGAGTGCCTGCCTGGGACATGCTAAACAACATGGGGGGGGGGTGGCTTTAAAATGACATCACTTTCCTGTCTGTCACCTGTAAGATCCAGGGGAGTGTTCCAGGTGCCAAGGGATATTTGTTGACACGACCCACAAGTTTAAAATTTCAACCTGCTCACCCAACTACTTCACACAAGTTCATTTCTCCTGACAAAATGAGAATGACTTCCAATTAGTCAGTGTTGCAGGACTGCAAGGAAACGCCTGAGGAGCAGACGCTGCAGAGGAGGAGTGCTGAGCCCCACGTGTGCAGGTTCCAGGGCAGAGCCCAGGTCTGGCAAGGGCAGGCATGGCAGGGGCAGGAGTGGGCATCCTGCCGAGTGCTCACGTTCTCTGCCAGCCAGGACCTTCAGTACATACCCCAGGGACCTGAGGTGCCCACCGCCTCCATGGGGCCACCAACAGACAAGCCTTTAATCTACAGACCTGGTGGGGACCCTCAAAATGCACATCACAGTGTGAGCGAGCGTCTGGGGTGGGGTATGTGGGAGGATCTAAGGGGGAAGGCTGTGTGTGCAGGCGGAAGGGGTGTGTGTGTGTGACGGGAAGCTGTGTATGTGTGCATGTGTGGAGGGCGTGTGAGCTTGCTGGGGAGGTTGTGTGGGAAGATGTGCATATGTGGGTGGGAGGCTGTGTGTGTGGAGGATGTATGTATGTGTGTTACAGGGTGTGTGAAGGTGTTGGAGGAGGCTGTGTGAGTGGCAAGATGTGTATGTGGGGAGAGGCTGTGAGCTGAAGGTGTGTATTTGCATCAGGGTGTAAGGGTGTGTGTATGCTGGGCTGTGTGTTGAGGTTTGTGTGGGAAGATGGGTATGTGGGTGGATGGTGTGTGTATGTGGGGGGTGGGGAAGAGGTGTGTGATGCGGGGGAGGGTATGTGTGAGTGGAGGCTGTGTGTTACAGGGTGGGTGTTGGTATGGTGTTTGTATTTGAGAGGAGGCTGTGTGTGAGTGGAAGGGGTGTGTGTTATAGGCTGTGTGGGTGGAGGCTGTGTGTGTTACAAGGTAGGCGTGTGTCCACACTCACGTGCCCGGGTTCACAAGCTTCAAACATCACAATCGTGGCAAAGCAACTGGTGTGTGCCGTAAAGAAAAGACATAGTTTTTACACCCGTCACGCTGCTGGACATGTTGAATGGATTCAGTGTGGAAAGCAATCTGTGGATGAGTATGACCTCTGGTGTTAATCCAGGGGAATTTTAGCATTTATAATCCTTGATGGAAAAAAGCGAACAGTTGCCTGAACCCTTACCGCTGGCTCATGTTTGCGTCCTCACATCTCCCTCTCGCCTTCCCTCCTCTCTCTGACATGAATGGGTAAGGCAGGACCAAGTGGAAGAAGACTGTTGCTGTAACTGCTTAATCCTGCCTGCTGCCTGTGATTCGAGTACTACCCGGGAAAGCAGCAGAACAAAGCTGTGGTGTTCCTGTTCTTAAGGTCCACAGGGGGACTCGTTTCCCTCCATCCTAGCCCGCTGGTGCAGGTTGCCCCAGTCACTGAAGTTAGGATGCTGTGCACCAGCAGTGGAGCAGCACGGCGGGGCCTGCACCTGCCAATTTCCACCATTGTGCTATTGAGCCGTCGGGGGCTCCCAGCACAGACACGTCCACCAAGGAGGCTCTGAGTGCCTGTGGTCCGTGGGTTCCTTTAGGGAAAAGGAACCCAGTCTGACGGCTTGCTCTTCTTCCTGTTCCTGAGCTCTCCCCACAACATCGGCTGAAGTGCCACTGGCCCCGTTCTTCTGGGTCTTGCGTGTCCCTTCCTCCTCCTGCACCTGCTCTGAGGAGGAGGGGACACGGACTCAGTGCCACGTGGATATGGGGGACCCCCCAGCAATACTGTAGGAAGGCACCGAGGGACTTTTGGCAAGAGAAGCCAGTCCCCTCCCATTATGGCTGGAACCCTGGGTTTGAAGTCTGCAATCTGCTGTTTGGGAAGTTGGTTTGGCACAAGGGATGCATCTGCTGTTTTTCCTAATGACATTTTAGGAACTCCAGAGACTGGCATCCAATTAAATGCTGATAACAACTGTTGTGGTATTTGAGAGTGCATAATCTCCGCCGACATTTATGTAACTCCTTTTAAAGTGTTTAGATTTGTAAGGAGGAACCCAGCATTCTCTCCTAAGCAGGTACAGGGAGCTGTCGAATCTACCGAGAACAGTGCTAATGCATGTTGGACGGATTTTGTGCTGGAGATGAATGTCCTTTTTCAAAGATTTATTTGAAAGACGTATGACAGAGAGGGCATGGAGGGAGGGAGACTACACCGGTCTGCTTGCTGGCCCGCTCCCCAGACGTGGGCCTTTCTGCGCTGCTTTCCCAGGCACCTTAGCAAGGAGCGGGGCAGCTGGGTCTTGAATGATGCTCTGCAGTGGGCGATCCAGGCAGTGCTGGGCCCTGTTTCCTCTCTGAACAGAGTAACTTGATTCCGAGCGCGTTGGTTGTAATCCACTTTCATGGTTCTGTCCCATCGGTCTGCCCCCACCCCCATTCTCCACCTAGCATGGCTTATGTAAACCCAGGAACAGCTGGGGCGCTCAGCACTGCTCTGCCCTGCCATGGGCTGTGGCACACAAACCACCTTCCCGTTTCTCTTTCTGGGCCTGTGGGTTCTAATCCCACCCCCCCCACCCCCATAATCCTAAAATCAACTATTCACTGTGTGCAGTGACAATTCCCCTCCGGGCGCTCTCTCCCCCCTCCCGGGCAGGCAGCCGCCAGGTATTGCATGGAGAAACTGGATCCCGCCGAGGCTCCATTTGCCTAATGAGGGCGATCTGCTTTCAGGGCGAGAGCTCTAATTATCTTCATTTTTATTACAAAAATGGCCATTTCAAACCACAGTTTACAATGCAAACCGGGCCAGTTATCGGTTCTGAGACAGGGAAACGTGGCGACCCTCCGCGCGCCAGCACATCACACACAATCCCCCAGGCCTCGGTTTCTGCCGCTTTAGGGGGCGGTGCACACTTGGACCGCTCTCCCGCTAATCCGGCCCGTCTGCGGCCTGGCCCGGGCGGCGCGCCCTCGGCCGCTCAGGCGCTCGCCGTGCGCTCTGCTGACCTGCGTTTGCTGTGTGTCCGCTGCAGGTGAGGAAGAGGAGGACGAGGAGCCCACGAGGAGCGCGCGGCCCGCCGCCCGAGCAGCTCCCGGACCCTCGAGGCAGCCTGCAGTCCACGGCCGGAGCGGCCCCCGCGGACCCACCCTCTCCGGCCGCCGGGGGTGCCGAGCGCGGAGCCGGGACGTGGCGGCTGGGGGCGCCGGCCCCTCATGTTCCGCAGAAGGCGCGCATGTGAGCGGGCGGTGGCGGGGAAAGCCCTCCGCCCCCGCCGGGGGGACCCCGGGAAGCCCGCGCCAGCCCCGCCCGCGGACGCAGGGGATCCCCTCCCCCGGCCCCGCCCGGGCGCGCGCTTAACCCTTCCCGCGCCTCGGCGCGCCGGGCCCGACACGGCGGGGCGGCTGGCGGATGCGGGAGCCCGACGCCGCCCCGCAGGCCCGGAGGCGGCCCGACGCGGTGGGACAGGCCCGGAGGGGGCGAGCGCGGGGCGAGGGGGCGGCTGCCTGGCCGCCCTGCGGAGCGTACGGACGCGGGCTAGGCGCCGCACCGGCCCCGCCGCTCCCGCCCATGGCCTGGGTGGCCAGCCGCGCTGCAGTGCGGGGCGCAGGTGACCAGGGCAGCGCGCCCGACTCCGGGCCGAGGGCGGCGGCCTTCGCGCGCCTCTCCACTCGGCTGCCCCCGCAGCACGGCCTCGGCGCGCGGGGGCTCCCGGCGCCGGGCAGGGCCGCGTGCGCTCCGGCGCAGCAGGTGGGTCCCGGTGCGCTGGCGGCCTGGCGCGGGCCGGGCGTGCGTTCCGGGCCTTCCCGGGGCAGACCCCTCCCCAGCTGCCCGCCCGCCCGCCACCGCCGCGCGCCGCCAGCTCGGTCTCGGTCCCCGCAGGTGATGTCATGCCCATTGTTTTGGTGCGCCCAGCCAATCGGACTCGCCGCCTGGATTCTACCGGAGCCGGCATGGGCCCTTCCTCGCACCAGCGGCAGGAGTCCCCGCTCCCGACCATAACGCATTGCGCAGGGTGCACCACCGCCTGGTCTCCCTGCAGCTTTAACAGCCCTGACATGGAAACCCCATTGCAGTTCCAGCGCGGCTTCTTCCCGGAGCAGCCGCCACCGCCGCCGCGCTCCGCGCACCTGCACTGCCAGCAGCCGCCACCGAGCCAGGACAAGCCGTGCGCGCCCTACGCGCCGCTCCCGCACCACCACCCGCACCTGGCGCACCCGCCGCCCGGCAGCGGCGGCAGCAGTCCGTGCCTCCGGCGCAACAGCTGCGCCTCCTCCTCGGGGCCCGCGGCGGGCGCGGGGGCGGGGGATAACCTGTCCCTGCTGCTCCGCGGCTCCTCGCCCGGCGGCGCCCTGCGGACCCGCACCTCCTCGCCGCTGTCGGGCTCTTCGTGCTGCTGCTGCTGCTCGTCGCGTCGGGGCAGCCAGCTCAACGTGAGCGAGCTGACGCCGTCCAGCCATGCCAGTGCGCGCCGGCAGCAGCCCGCGCCGCAGCCCGCGCCCGCCGCGCAGTCCCCCCAGTGCCTCCGCCTGCAGCCCGCCGCCAGCCCCACGGGCAGCCTGGGCAGCCTGGGCTCGGGGCCGCCGCTGCTCGCGCACCACCACCACCACCACCACCACCCCCCGCAGCACGCGCACCCCCCGCCCCAGGCGCGCCGCGAGAGCAACCCCTTCACCGAAATAGCCATGAGCAGCTGCAGGTACAACGGGGGCGTCATGCGGCCGCTCAGCAACTTGAGCGCGTCCCGCCGGAACCTGCATGAGATGGACTCGGAGGCGCAGCCGCTGCAGCCCCCGGCGCCCGGCGGCGGTGCGTCCTCCCCGTCTGCCGCGGCCGCCGCCTCATCGCCGGCACCCGAGATCGTGGTCTCCAAGCCGGAGCACAACAACTCCAACAACCTGGCGCTCTACGGGGCAGGCGGTGGCGGCAGCACGCATGGCAGCAGCGGCGGCGCCAAGCCCAGCAAGAAAAAGAACCAGAACATCGGCTACAAGCTGGGCCACCGGCGCGCCCTGTTCGAGAAGCGCAAACGGCTCAGCGACTACGCGCTCATCTTCGGCATGTTCGGCATCGTGGTCATGGTCATCGAGACCGAGCTGTCGTGGGGCGCCTACGACAAGGTACGCTCAGGGGCGCGGACGGGGAGCGCCTGGCCCGGGGTCCTGAGGCTCCGAGGGGCGTTGCCGGCCGGCCAGCTCCACCGGCGAGGGCACCAAAGTTGGCCAGGGCGATGCGAGTGCCCGGTGCGCTCAGGCAGTCCTGTGCGGACCTCCAGCCATAGTGGTCTTGGAAGCCGGAGGTCCGGCGGCCGCCTGCGACTCCGTGGAACTTCCTCGGCAGCCCAGCCTGGTTCCTCCCGCGTTCTGGCGTTCTGCACGCCACCCGGCTTTGCTCTGTGGCCGAGGGGTCTGAGGGGGTCTCAGAACACTCAAGTCCCCTTGAGGGACTTTGGTCTGCCCGCAGGGCCCTCCCCCTCCCCAGACTCAGAGGGCGGTTGGAAGTGCTCCTGGCTAAAAGTGCTTGTGTCTGACTGTTGCAGGCGTCGCTGTACTCCTTAGCTCTGAAATGCCTTATCAGCCTCTCCACTGTCATCCTGCTCGGTCTGATCATCGTGTACCACGCCAGGGAAATACAGGTAACGGGGTTGCTGGGAGACCAGGGCTGCTGCCTGCGCCCCGGGCACGCCAGCTTGTCCTTGCCCGAGGTTGCAGGAAGCACAGAGTGGAGTTCTGGGCCTGGCACCTGACCGACTCTTCCAAAAAGAGGAGAGCAGAGCCAGGCCAGGCGGTGCTGTCCTGACTCACGCAGTGGGTTCTGGAGTGTTAAGCCCTCGAGGTGTTCCCTCTTGTGTGTCTAGTGGACACATCTGAATCTGCTGCTGGCTCTCGTAGAGGCGGTCACAGGCCGGCCTTGCTCTGCCCTTGTTTGGAGCACCTTTCCCTGAGGCTGATGGCAAGGGGAGGTGTCAGCCCTGCCGCGTGTCGTCTGCCGTCCCGTGGCACAGCAGAGAGAGCTGCTGGTGATGTGTGAGAGTAAGGCGTGGGACACCCCCACCCTGGCTGCACCCTTACCCTGCACTCAGGTTCCCGAAGCCTGGCAGTTTGATTCTTACCTGCTTTCACCATGAAGCTTGTTTTTGTTGTTGAAATCTTAAGAGTTAACGGCTATTGTCCCGAGAGCTGTGTTGTTAGGAAATGTTTGCTTGTTTAAATGCAGCCCAGGAGCTCTATTCTTAGGTTTGGCTGAAAACGGCAGAATGCTCTGCACAGTGTAGCCCACAGTCAGAGGGACAGTGAAAGTTTTAAATTAATAGCTAGCTCTCCAAAAAGTAGGTTGAGATTTTTGCAGCTCAGAATTTGCAGTCACGGCTGCTTTCCGGTTGTTTTTCTGTGACCGGTTGTTGGGCACTCGGAAGCACCCTGAAACCCCCAAATCCGGCTGCCGCTGTCTCATATCCAGGCTGTGCTTGAACTTCAGACATTGTAGAGGACTTGTTGTTTGGCAGTTCAAGATTTGGTCGTGTTGCATTAGTTTAAATTGGCAATTTGCAGACACACGCCCAGCCGGGAAGAGAGTGGCGTTCGGGTTTGCTCAAGCCAGAGCAAGGCTCCAGCGACCCCAGGGGAGGGAGACACTCCTTCACCTGGTGCTTGTGTCTGCAAGTCGCTGCAAATTAGTGTGTGTTGCCAAGCGAGCGAGGTCAGGGAATGAGAAGGAGTGAGGGTGAGTCTCTCGGCAGATAAAGAATAAAGCTGCAGCTGCAAAGGCGGGGTGCACACATTTGAATTTTTTCAAAAACCACCATGACTGTGTCCACAGACTCATTTTGAACTCAGTACTGGTGACCTGGAGCTGTTGAACCTCCTGCAAGCATCTAGAGGAGGTGCTGAGACACGGTTTGGACAAGGCAGGCGCATCCGCCAGCTCTGACCTGGAGAGGACATGGCCAGGCTGGCAGGAGCTGCGTGGGGCTGTCAGCGTGGGGCTGAGGGGGCTGAAGTCAGAAGAGGCGAGTGCCGGACGCTCTGAGTCGGCTCCACGTTGGTCCTGCCCTGCCCCGCTGCCGTTTCCAGAGCTTGCGACACGCATGGCTGTTGCTTTGATTCTGAAATCTGCCGTAGGGAGACCACATTCTGACATGTTCTTAGTGCTCTGGAAAATGAAGTTATTAAAAGGCACACTTTGCTGGTAGGCAGCGTACCCCTCAGCTTCTCCTGTGTTGCCTGTTCCTGCTAGGAACATGAGGAAGCCAGCGTCCCTGGGAGGGGATGTTGGCTGGCATTAATATAAAATAGACTTTTCAAGACAGATTGAGGGAATTTTGCAATCGAGCCTGGAGCCTCTGGGGAGCTGTGGACATTAATGTCACCCTAGAGAACTCAGGAAGGAGTAAGGCCCCGGGAACTCTGACTTCCCCAGTGGCTTCACTGGGGACAGCGTCTGTCCCTGGGTGCCCCTGGGAACTGGCGTGTCATGAGGGTCTGGCAGCGGCTCGGAACGGGGAGGACTGAGTTAGTGGGGGGTCAGCCCACTGGCCGTCTTTCCTGCCAGCCAACGGGAATGTCCTGGAACGTTAGCTTTTAAAAAATTAGATCTGTTTTCTGTGGGTTTTGGTTTCTCTTAAAGCTGCCACTCTTGGGGTCATTTCAAAATGGAATCTTAGGGGTCTCCGTGTGGTTAGTCATGGAGCAGGATATATGCGTGGCGTCTCGTGGAGTGGAGCCTTTACCCTAAGCAACAGCCCCAGATTTGTATCAGCTGTGCTGTTAACCCGGCATGGGACGTGCGAAGGGGCCTGGTAAGCACGGAGACGCCGGGAGTCATGGGCCAGTAGGAAGCAGGGAGGTTGAGGCTCATCCCTCCCAGGGGCCTCTCCGGAAGACCCTGAGTCATGCCCCCTTTGAAAGTGCCAGCGTTCAGGTCGCCTCTGCGCCGTTCTGCCTTCAACATTCACAGTTTAAAGCGTTGCAGTCACTGACCTTGACTTAGGAAACTCGGTGCAGCAGTTGCAGCTGCCGTTGAGTGTGGCCTTGGGCGCAGTGCTTGTCCTAAAGCCAGGGTTCTTAGACTTGCTCCTAGTATGTCAGGGCAGCGCTATCGGAACACCTGCTTCTCACCATTCCCCCTGCTGTTGGGAAACATCAGATGCTGAGCCGGCTCCCTGCTCTATCCGCTGGAGCTGGTACCTGAGCTTGGGGAGGTCCTGGCATCCTCCCTGGGAGCGTTGGGACACAGGGCAGCATGCCCTTTCATGAAGCGTTAACACCCAGTGCAGCTCAGGTGAGTCCGGGCGACGTGCGGCTGACGGTGAGCCTAGCCGAGAACACGGTTCAGGAAATTTCAGCTTCGGTGTCGTGTTTCAGTACCAGAGACAGCTCAGTGCACTGGGCTGGATCGCGTGTTCATTTCACTAATTACTTATGCTACTCACAACTGAAAGTGTAATCACTTTTTCCTGTTCAAATGCTGACAAAAATTAGATCCGGTGAGGGCATATTCCAGTAACGTACGCACTTGATCTGGTCAAATAGATGAGCGGCCTCACTTCCTGCCAGCGGCCAAGCCCCCAGCTGACATGCGAGTAGCGTTCACGATGGAGTATCTGCATAGATTCAGGAAACACTTGGGTCTGGTGGTCTCCTGCCAGCGACGATGCCTGGAGAGTGGGTCTTGTGTAACTTAGAAAGGTTCTTTGATAATAAAAGGAGCGGCTTCTCCATGTTGAGAGTCAAGGCCACTGCCCCATTGTAAGTAGAACCCAGGGACTTCTCTCTCTCTCTCACACCTGACGTTGTTTCCTGATGAAGCGAACGCCCAGCGAGTCCCCAGTTCTTCATCGTGGAGAACTTTGAGTGCAGCTTTCCTGTCTTCTCAACTTCCGTGTGCTGTGCTGCCTTTGGTCCTGTTGAGGTCATTGAAGTTGAAAGAGTTGTTTGGTCGTTGGGCTTGGCAGACGCAGGTGTTAAAGTGGGAAAGGGCCCTGGGTCTGGCCGCCGACTTCTCTGTGTCTCCCTGGGCTTGGGAGAATGGCAGGTGTGACAGTCTGCATTTGGAAGCAGCTTTGCTTCTCTGTGTCCTTGGGAAAGACACTCGGGTCAGCACCCTGATTGGTCTCTGGGATCGTTCCGGACGCAGTAACAGCTCATGTTTTCTCAAGTTACCGTTCTGAAGATGGAATCTAGAGCTGTGGCTGAAAAGCAAGCGTGGTGTTTACTTGTGTACCAAGGCTGCTCCAAGGAGAAAGTGCTGGAGAGGCCTCCGTGACGACTGGGGTCTCCTGCCCCAGTGAGGGGGTAGTCCCCACCCGCGTGGTGGACTCTGGCTGTCCCCCAAGCATGAGCCAGCTGCGGGCCTCCCATCCCTGGCCCGTCACAGAGTGAGCTGCAGAACATGCTGGAATCCTGCCTGTAGTTCTCATGGTGTCGGTACAGGAGAACAGCTTGATCACTTTCTGTGTCCTTCAGTCCTGCCTCTGTGATGTCACTGCTGTTAGAATTCTTACATTCCCTTCCAGAATCTCAACAGTGGCTACTTTGCTGTGTTCATGTACACACTTAGCTTTTCTTTGATTCCTTCTTGGGTTGCAGGGGTCCTCACTCCCCGGCACATGGAGACCCTGCTGGGCAGCGGCATCCCCTGTGTCCTCGGGGTGTCCTGGGGCCCCTTGGCCAGCCAGCTCTGCAGAGGTGGCCGGCTGAGTGGGAGTTGGCTGAGCTTTGCTGCGACACAGGCTCTGAGGTGCTCTGGTTGTTGTCCCCTCTGGTAGCACTGTGTGTCGGTTGCCACCTGACTGTCGGGGGCAGACTCCAGCAGCAACATAGCTGGGGCAAGCAGGTGCTGTTCTATCGCAAAGTTGTCAGGTTTCTGTTATTCCTCCACACCACTGTGGATGTTACAAAAAGAACTTTTTAAAAATCCTCTTGGGTTTTTGAAAGTCTGAGATGTTGATTATCTTCCGGAGAACGGATCCTGCAGGAGTGAACCCGAGGACCGATGGCCTCACGGGCTCCGCACTGCGTGTGGTACCTGCACGGCGCCTGATCTGCCCAGCTGACAGGTATGTGCCAGGCTGTTTGCTGCTCTGTGTTACTGATGAGGAAGTGACTGCCACACGGGCACCCGGCACGTTGGAGACCAGCACCAGTGGACCCTCACGGCTCCCATGCGTGGCTTCCTTGAACCTGGTCCCATTGAAGGCACGTTTTGTGCAGTTCCGTGGTGGGCCCTGTGGCTTTTGTCTTTTAGTCTGTATCCCATGGGGTGGACAGGTGGTGAGGGAGGGGAGGGGCAGAGTTGTCCCTTGGCCTGGGGCCCCACGCGGCGTGGTGCTCGCTCTGTTGTCACCCTTGCTGGAGCCTCCCCCTGAGCTGGTCCACACCCGGGCATTTTTGTTCTGCTGCTCACCAGCTTCTCTGTGTAGGGAGAAATTCCTTATATTGAAATGAAATCTGGTTTTCTTCATTTCATCTGTAATTTTTTTGAGCTCAGCTAAATGCAGTAGGGAACAAGACAGCCAAGGTCTTTGCCTCTAGGAGTAAACGCTTCCAGAGGAGGTAAGGAAAGTGGAAAAAAATAAACAGTTCTTGGAAACATGATAAAAGCCATGGTCGGGGACAAACAGGGCAGCCGGGGGTG